TGTTGTGTGTGTGTGTGTGTGTGTGTGTGTGTGTGTGTGTGTGTGTGTGTGTGTTTGGTTATGTGTCGTTCATTGCGATTGGTTCCCCCATCCTCTGGCAGGGTGCTTTTTTGTTTTGTTGTGCTAATATGGCCTTCTAGCTATCAGTTACTATTTTATATTTTAGAATTTATGAAAAATTCATTATTCATTCGGATCTCAACAAAGCTGCTAGTTGGAAGAGATTAACAGAGGAATTTCTAAATGCGACACTTTCAAGCATAAAGGAAAAAAAGGTATGTCTTTCATTCTGAAATATCTTTTTTGTATTTCAGTGTTTCTGCTCTCATTATCTTCAGCTTACTTTTGTTAGCATCTAAGCATTCATTCTATTTTAGTATTGCAGGATTTCCTGGAAATTGCTTTAAGTTTTTCATCAGATCCAGTATGAATCTTGTCTGATGAATAACAAGCTGGTTCTTATTTAAGCATCTTTTTAAGCACAAACTACTTTGAAAGTAGAGTTGAGTGCATGGTACAAATAATAGCAGAGCCAGAATACCTTAAAATTTTTCAATTGCTGGGGCCGGCCCTAATCCCAAATATGTGAAGTGAATGCACTTCAGAGGACAGCACTGAAGCTACAGCTCAGGGAGAGGGTCATATCTGATCAGAGCACACAGGAGAAACGAAAAGAGATGGAGAGGGAGGGGACCACATCCTGGCCCACCAAGCCCTGAGGATGATGTTCTTGCTCAGAGCAGACAACGCACAGAGAGGACCATAGTGCCAGCCCCACCACGAGACATGACATTCCTCACTGAACCATAGTGCTTCAGGAGACAACACTGGATACACAATGCAGGAATTGTGCCCACCTGACCCCATCACACTAGGGTGAAACACACCAAGGGCATGCAACAGAGCAGCAAGGGGAGCAAAGCAATGAAATCCCCAACGAATACCCAAAATAGACTTTGAAGACAGTGTGGTACCCCATCAGACTCGACGGGAAAACACTCCTAAAGGTCAAAAAAACAGATCTGGAACTATTTATAGGATTTTCCTTTTTGGCTGTTGTTGTTTTGTTTTTGCTTATTGTTGTTATTGTTTTGTTGGTTTTGTCCTTTTTGTTTTGTTTGCCTTTGCCTGGTTTTTTAGCTTATTCATGTTTCTGCATGTCTATCTAGATAAGATAGGCAGGATAAACCATTTGGAGACAAAAACAGTGGCACCGACGGTCCAGGGGGGACATGGGAGAAGGGGAGGTGGGAGAAAGCGGGGAGGTGGGGGGCAACTAACCAAAGGATAAGGGAACAACAAGTGAACTAAAATCAATGGAGAGAAGGGTGTAGGATGCCTAGTGGGGCTTAATCAAAGGCAATGTAACAGCAAGGAATTACTAAACGTGAATGCAGGCTGAACATAATGGTGGGACAAGAGGAAAGTAAAAGGAAAAAGAGAAAAGAACCAGGAGGCAAAGGATATTTTTAGAAGTCTAAATACAGACATGTACATATGTAAATATCTTTATATATAATGAGAGGGAAATAGATCTATGTACTTATATCTGTATGTTAAGAATTAAGGTAGCAGATGGACATTGGGTCTCTATTCAAGTACTCCCTCAACACAAGAACTTTGTTCTAATAACTCAGCATTCTGTGATGCTCACCTTCCCAACATGATGGCTGAAGAGAAAGTGGGTGCTTAAGCAAATGTGGTGAAGAAAGCTGATGGTGCCCAGCTATCAAAAGATAAAGCATCTGGGGTCTTACAAAGTCCACATGGAAGAAGTCCACCAGCCTGTGTGATCATGAGGTCTCAATGGGATAAGGTATTAGGCATCTTAAGATGCAGAACAAAATCATACCAATGTGAGGGGGGGAACGACGATGATGAGGAGTGGAGACCCAAAGCTCATCTGTAGACAATTGGACATCTCCTCACAGAAGGATCAAAAGGAAGAGATGATCCAGTCAGGGTGCAGTATAGCACTGATGAAACACACAACTTTCCTCTAGTTCTTTAATGCTTCCCACTCCCCCCACCCCCACTATCATGACCTCAAGTGTACCTTACAAATCAGATTAGACTAGAACATGCACACTGCTACAGATAAGAGCCTGCAACACAAGGAATCCAGGATAGATAAACCCCTGGGGCCAACAATGAGAGTAGAGATACCTGGAGGATTAAGGGAAGGTGGGGGCAGAAAGGGGAAATTGATTACAAGGACCGACATATAACCCCCTCCCAGGAGGACAAACAACAGAAAAGTGGGTGAAGGGTGACAGGATGATGTAAGATATGAAAATAATAATCTATAACATCAAGGGTTCGTGAGAGAAGCTGGGTAGGGGAGGGAGAGGGAAAAGTGAGCTGATACCAAGGGCTCAAGTAGAAAGTAAGTGCTTTGAAAATGATGATGACAACATATGTACAAATGTGCTTGACACAATGAATGAATGTATGGATTGTGATAAGAGATGTAAAATCTCCCAATAAAAGTATTTAATAAAAAAAAATTTTTTTAAATTGCATCTCAGTATTTGCTGATAGTTGTTACCTACCAACTCATAATTGTTCCTAGATTTTAGACACTGTTCTGAGCATTTTCATTTTGAATCCAGAGTGCCTCAGGTTTGATGATTTCATTAGAAGTATTTATACAACTCAAAAAAGCTATTAATCTCATTGCTACAGCTTACTGCAACAAAAGGATGCAGATTAAACTCAACAAAATAAAAAGATGCATAGCATGAAATACAGGAAGAACCATGCACAAATTTTCAGGTTTTCTTCCTCTGAAATGGCTTTGCCAGCAGTCATACATCTGCACACAATATAACTATGTAATGACTATTTGCAATTTACAGTAATACTGTTTTCCTCTGAAAAGTATAAATACAAAAGCTAAGTAAGCAATGAGGTTCTGCCATTTGGATTGACCGTGGCAGAGCTTAAAGAGGTTGTCATTAGCCAATAGTCAGCAAATCAATATGGATAAAATAGTCAATCAAATGCTCTAATTTATCAGAAAAACTCTAAATTTTACCTCAAGCCCTTTTAAAAGTTAAATCTCCTTAGTAATAAGTAGGACAGTGTTAGCTCCTTTTGGTGAACTGTCTCGTGTCTTCTTGCTCACTTTTTAATTTTTTTTTTATTGAGGAATTACAGTTTTCTATACATTTTAGAGATTAGTCTTTTGTCCGTTGTGTCATTGCCAAAGATTTTCCCCCCCAGTCTGTGAGTTCTCCCTTTGCTTTCTTGATGACCTCTTTTGATGCACATACGTGTCTTATTTTTAATGGGTCCCAGGTATCTGTTCTCTCTTCCGAGGTGTGCACTTGCTTCTTTATATTTGATAGCATGTCTTTCTAGTGATTGTTTTATTCATGAAGATGCATCCAATTAAGTGAGCCAAAGTCTTGCCTGCCTATATGCTAAGAAACATTCTAGTTGTATTTCTTCCAAGACTAATTTGTTCATTCTTCTGGCAGCCTATTCAATGTTCTTTATCAACACCACAATTCAAATGTATCAAGTATTTGCCTGTTTTATCTTTCCATGGTCCAGCACTTGCCCGTCAGTTTGTCATACTGTAGTGCCTTGTGTGTTGCTGGGAGCTGTATCACTGTTATTTCAAATGCCAACAGGGCCACCCAAAGTGAATAGGCTTCAGTGGACTTTCCGCACTCAGAAAAGAAAACGGAGAAGGGATAGGCTGCCCACTACAGAAGAAGTAGTTGCTGAATTCCTTATGCATAGCTTTGAAGCACTGTCACAAACTAAAGGCCGCGTGAATGGAAGCAGAACATTGTCGGAGATGGTGCCGGAGGATGGCCCCTCGTGTTGGAGGGCACTCTAAATGTGACTGAGAAGAAGCTGCTTTCTCAAAGTAGAGTCCACCATGGTGCCGTGAGTTGGTACTGGAGCCTTTCGGATCTTCATTTGCTGATGGGTCACAACTCAAGGCAAAATCAATGAAGGATTGGGACTTGGAATGTGCTAAGTATGAATCTAGGAAAATTGGAAGTGGTCAAAAATGAAATGGAACACTTAAAGATCAATATCCTGGGCATCCGTGACTTGAACTGGACTGATACTGGCCATTGTGAATTGGAATGACACAGTCAAGAGGCAGAACATTGCATTTATTATCAAAAAGGACATTGCAAAATCAATCGTGAAGTACAGTGCTGTCTGTGATGGAATTATATCTATCTGCCTTAAAGGAAATGCGGTCAATGCAACTATTATTTAAATGGAAGCGTCAATCACAAAAGCTTGTGATGAAGAAGATGAAGAATTCTACTGACTTCAGTCTGAAGTTGATCAAACATGCAATCCAAGATGGCTATTGGAATGCTAAAGTTGGAAACAGGAAGGAGTCTTAGTTGGAAAATAGGACTCGGAGATAGAAAGGAAGCTGGAGATCACATGGTAGAATTTTGCAAAACCTGACTTTTCATCACAAATGCCTTTTCTCAACAACACAAAAAATGACTATGTACATAAACTTCTCCAGAGAAAAACAAACAAAAAAACTTCTCCAGATGAAATAAATAGAAATCAAACTGGCTACGTATGTGGGAACAGACAGTGGAGAAGCTCAATATATTTTAGTATATGTGCTGCCGAAGCGAGCACGAGAAGCTCAATATAATCAGCTAACACCAGACAGAGGCTGACTGGAACACACCATCAATTACTCATATGTAAGTTCAGGTTCAAGCTGAAAAAAAACGAGAACAAGTCCACATGTGCCAAAATACTGCCTTGAATCTATCCCATCTGGATTTTGAAGACATCTGAAGGACAGGTTTGACTCATTGCACACTCATGACAAGACCTGAGGAGCTGTGCAAGGCATCAGGGACATCCTTCAGCAAGCCACAAGTCATAAAAAACCCAGGAAAGGTAGAAAGATCACAGTGCATGTTAAGAGAGACTCTGAAGCTTGCTTTTACTCAGGGTAGCTAAGGAAAATGGAAGAAATGAAGTTTAAAGAGCTAAACTGAAAATTCAAAGAGCAACTGAGAAGAGGAAGTAAAATAGTGTAATGAAACATGCAAAGACCTAGAGTTAGAAAACCAAAAGGGAAGACCTCCCTCTGAAATGGGAGAACTTAAGTAGAAATTTGAGCTGGTGTTGCATTGTTAAAGATTCCCTGGGGAAAATATTGAATGATGCAGGAAGTCAAAAGCAGGTGAGAATGCCCAGTCACTTTACTAAAAAGAACTAGTCGAAATTCCATCATTTCAAGCTGAGGAAAGCGAAGCTCTAGGAAGAGAGCCATAATTCTATCCATTCCAAAGAAAGGTGATGTCACATGCCAGTAAAATTTTACTAATAATCATCCAACAACAGATACAACAGTACCTTGTTGGCTTGTCATACAGTGGTGGCTTGTGTGTGGCTGTGATGCTGGAAGCTATGTTACTGGTATTTAAAATGCCAGCAGTGTCACACACAGTGAACAGAGCTTCCAGACTAAGACTAAGAAGGAATAGGCTGTCCACTTATGAGGAATTCACCTCGGAAAACTTTATGGACAGAATTGAAACATTGTCAAATACTGAAAATCTCATGAAAAGAAGCAAACATTGTCAGAGATCGTGCTGGATGATGGGCCCCTCAGTTCAGAAGGCGCTCAAAATATGACTGAACAAGAGCTGCCTTTTCAGAGTTGGCCATAATGACATGGATGGTGTGTCAGTCTGGGTTGGTTACAGAAACAAATCCAGAGACATTCGTATATGTGTAAGAGAGAACTATAGATCAGGAAGCAATTATCCAGTAATAAAACATCCCAGCCCAGTCCAGCTCAAGTCCATAAGTTAAATATTAGCCCATAAGTCTTATATTAGCCCCTAATTCCTCTAGAGACTCATTGCAACACATGCAATGGTACTGAATGCAGGAAGATCACAGGCCGGTGGTGTATCCAGCGGTGGTGGAGCATCTCAGGTCTGGTGCAAGTCTCCACGTGGCTCCTCCAGCTCCAGGGCTCTGGCTGTCATCAGCATGGCAGATGTAGCTTGTCAACAGGAACGGTGAAACAAAATGAGTGTGTGTCCTGCCTCCAGGAAGAAAGACAGGAGTTCCCAAAATCCTCAGGAGAAGGCCATGCCCAGAGGCCTCATTGGCTATGACCTGATTGACAGGCTAGACTTCACCTCTTCACTCAAGTTGACAGCAGGTTATGTAACTGCCACAGATGGAGAAAAGCCTGCAGGAGTGTAGTCTTCCAACCCTTCATTTGCTGATGGAGCATGACTCAAAATGAGAAGAAACTGCTACAGACATCAATTAATAATTGTACCGTGCATTAGAATGTATGCAGTATGAATCTAGGAAAACTGGAAGTTGTAAAAAATGAAGTGGAATGCATAAAAATTGACATTCAATTAGGCATTAGTGGGCTGAAATGGACTGTTATTGGACATTTTGAATTAAAAAATCAGTTTTGCTATACTAGGAATGTAACAATCAAGAGGAATGACATTCATAGTAACTTATTACCGCCCGCCTGTAGTTACATAATTTCATGGCAACTTGATAAATAGAATTTAGGGGTGGAGTCTAGCCTGTCAAACTGGTCACAGCCTGATGATGCTTCCTAGTAGATGTGGCCTTCTCATGAGGATTTTGGGAACTTCCTCTCTTTCTTCTGAGAGGCGGGCCACACTCTCTCTGCTTAGCCTTCCTGTTGAGACACATTTGGAGAGATGGAGGCACTACATGGAGACCTGCACCGGCACTGAGATGCTTCCATTGCCACTGGATGCACAAGACTTTCCATCATAATTTTGCTCCTGAGCTAAATCCATAAATTTAATTGGCAGGATATCTCCATCCAAATATTTTTGCTAGTTCCGTAAATTCACTATGACTCAAATCAAATTTGAATTCTTCCTCTCACAGACTGGGTCTTGCTTTTATCTGAATGGCACAAACAGTTTGTGCTCACCTTGCTAACCTAAAGGTTGGTGGTTCAAACCTACCCACTGGTATGACAGAAGAAAGGCCTGAAAATCTGTGAAAAGATTGTAGCCAATATATGTGTACATTTTAAAGCTTCATAGTGCTTATTGCCACATGAGAATAATGCAGTTTTAAGTCTTAGTGATATACTTCAGTGACGTTTTTATGTACTCGGGGATCAAGTCTCATTCACTCAGGTGTCTTGTGCTTGTCAGCAATACAGAACTGAACCCTCAGATAGTCTCATGAGGTTCATTATGTGTCCACACGTTCTACAAATAAAAATTTAGAGGTTTGAACTTTAGGTATCATTTATGCTTTTTTCCAAACAGAAAAATTAGAGGATGTAAACGTTATGGGAGTATCTTTTCTTTAATCAAACTAGAAAAAAATGACAATCACTAATCATGTTCTTTATTTTTTGTCTTAAAGACAGATACACATTATTCCATACTATCACTTCTTCTGTGTCTTTCTGATTCGCCTTCAAACAGCAACTATGTGGAAAAACCAAGAGATAAAGAAGTAGGTACGTTAACAAATGTCTTCACATATTAAAATAAAGCAGAAGTTTGAACATACTACTTAACTACTAACTAGACACTGAGATTTTTGTACAAAGTTGTGAAAGTTAATGAGACTAAATAGTTTTGTTTTGCTGGATACAATTATGCCTTTCAGAAAGGCAGAATTTCACTTAAAATGTAAGTTTTCACTTTGTAAGTTAAAGTACCTGCAATTGTATTAAAAATAATTTTTGAAGGTACACAAATGTAAATGTAAAATTTATTAGCGCGGCAATTTGAGTGTTCAATGTTTTTGAGCTTTTATTTTCTGAGTCTGTTTTGTCTTTTATTAGACCTTTCTTTCTTTTAAATAGCCGTGGCTTTCTATCAAACATTTTTATGATGAAGTTTACTATAGTTTCTCTTACATTTTAGGAAATAAAGATGATTTTGATTGGGGAAAATACTTGATGGAAGGTGAAGAAATCGACTTTCTCCCAAGTGTAGACACACCAGTAAGTGACAGTTTTGTCATCCCAAAAAATACATGCTAAGTGTGATACAGGAAAAAAATGTTCTTTTTCATTCTCAAGGTTTTTTCCTCTTCAAATGTTTTATTTGGTCCAGACATCACAACACTCAGTAGTTCAGTGATATCAAGGCGTGTTGTACAGTCACTACCACAATCAGTTTCAAAAGATTTTCTTCCTTCTTATACTCCTTATTGTCAGTTCCCTATCAACATTCCCCCCTCCCCTGCTGTACTCCCAGGAATTAACCCCACCCCCACCCCGCCGTAATCCCCAGGAACCCTAATCTAGTTATTGTCTCTATAGATTCACCCAATCTGGGTTTAATATACCAAAAACATAGAAAAATATGTAACAGGACGTCAGGAAGGCTACCAACAATAACAAAATACAACAGATAAACTCCAGTTTGGAAAAAACCAGATCAAGCTCAAAATGTATCAAAAGGGGAGATCAAATGACAAGGTTTGAACCAATCAAGTCAGATTTCTTTCACTTTAATCTACTATAATCGTTTCTACAATGCTCTCTGTCTGATATCCAGATTATTCCCATCCCTCAGTTATTGTCTGAGGGAAATCATTGGAGGCTTAATCTATGTGGGGATTCTGCAGAAGTGTCTTGGGCTCCCACTGTCATCTGTCGCTTTCTGCAAACCACATTGTCACAATTTAAACTGATACCATCCCCTCCTTCAGATTTGGATTATGTTATTTACAATCCTTGGATCATGCATGTTGGTGCTTTTTCCATGTGGGCTTAGTTGATATCTCACTTAAATGGCTGCTTGCTTGAAAACAAGCCTCTTAAGACCCTGGGCAGTAGTCTTTCTGATAGCCGGGCCCCATCTCATTTCTTCACCTCACTTTGCTATAGTACCTCCTGTCTTCTGTTTCCTTCATGAGGTGCATACAGAGCAGGCAATGCCAAAAGAATTGATTTTTTTAGATTGGGGCTAAGATTAAGTTCGAGCCCCAAATCTATTCTACCTGCTTCTGATTCACCTTAGAGACATCTCTATTATTTTATGTTAGATAACCTCATAGATCATTTCCCTGGAGCAGGTCCTTCTGTTTATAGTGTCATTGATTTAGCCCATGGTAATGTATTTAAAACACAATTGAAAAAAGGATATTAAACACGTGGAGGCTAACTGGGAATCTCACTACATAGATTATTGATTTGTACAGATTAAATCCTTATGTGACTTGACACTACACAAACAATGGGAGTTGGTGATCAGGCACAATTGCAATAATATTCACTGACAGTGTCAGACACAGATCTCCTAGAATAATTATCTATCTATCTATCAATACAGCAAGTAGGGCATTGAGGTATTAAGTAGATGTTAGTCCGCCCATCGACAGTTCATTCCTCTGGTACAGCTGTCTTCTGCTGCTTCACACACCATGCAGTTTAGGTCTTCCTAGTAATATGTCCAAGGGAGTTGATAGGAAACATTCTGGAGCGTTTTAGCTATAACTCTCTCAACAGAGATTTGTTCCTTCTTCTGGCAGTTCATGGCATATTTAACATTCAACATCAACAAAGGCATCAATTCCGCATCTGTTTTCCTTACTCATTGTCCAGCACCCATGTATATGAAGTGATTGAAAATACCATTGTGAGGATCAGGCACACCTTAATCTTCAAAGTGACATCTTTTTAACACTTTAAGGAGGTCTTTTGCAGCATATTTTCCCAATTACTTAAAATCTTGACTGCTGCTTCTGTGGGCATTGATTATAGATCCAAGTAAAATGAAATCATTGAGAACTTCAGTCCTTTCTTCTTTATCATGGTAGCTATTGGTTAGAACTTTTGTTTTCTTAATGTGAGGTATAATGCCTGTTAAAGACAGTAGTCTTTGGTCTTCATCAATGCTTCAAGTTCTCTTGACTTTCAGCAAGCAAAATTGTATCATTTGCACATCACAAGTTGTTAAATGAGTCTTCGTCTGAGGCTCGATGCTGTGGTTTTCTTCACATAGCCTATCTTCTCAGATGATTAGCTCATCATATAAATTGAGTAAGTATGGTTAAATTGTACAACCCCGATACCTTTTGTGATTTTATTTATTAATTTTTTTCTGCTACTTTGTTTTATTTTTTAATAAAGTTTTGTTTGTCCTGAGTTTTTTTTCTCTTCCCATATAAAGATGTTGATCGGCTTTTCTATTTCTTTGAGAAATTGTGCTAAAATTTGGATTGGAATGTCATTGAATTTATAAAGTTTTTGGTAACATTGATATTTTCAATATATTTTGTCTTCTTATCAAGGAGCACAACCCATTTTCCATTTGTATAAGTCTCTTTTAGTTTCTTGAAGAAATGTCTTACAGTTTTCTTTCTATAGCCACCCCTCCTCACCCCCTTTTGTGATTTTAAACCATGTAGTAGCCCTTGTTCTGGTCAAACAGCTGTCAAAAAATTCTATAAGAGCATAGTGATGTGTTCTGGAATTCTCATTCTTTGAATGTTATCCATAGTTTGTTACGACCCACACAGTTGATTGCCTTTCAATGTCATTAAAATACAGGCAGATATCTTTCTGATAGTCTCTGCTTTCAGCCAAGATCTGTCTAATGTCAGAACTGATATCTCTAGTTCCATGTCCTCTACCAAATCTAGTTTGACTTTCTGATAGCTCCCTGTTGAATTACTGCTACAACTGTTTTGAACAGTAATTTACTTGCTTGTGATATTAATGATATGCTTGATAATTTCTGCATTCTAGTCGATCACGTTTCTTTGCATTAGTTACAAATTAGGAATCTTTTCTCGTGATTGGCCAAGTAGTTCCCTCCCAAGTTTCTTGGCATAGGCAAGTGTACACCTCCAGCACTGCCTCTGTTGTTGAAACATTTCGGTTAGTATGTGAGTTAGTCTGGGTAGACTAGAGAAACACATTCATAGACACTCAGATGTGTGTAAGAAAGAGCTTTATCTACAAGAGAAATTGGATATTCAGAAAACATCCTAGCCCAGTCCAGATCAAGTACATAAGTCTGATATTAACACATATGTCTGAAGTCAATCTATACAGTCCTCTTCAGACTCACAAAACACATGCAATGACACTGAATACAGGAAGATCACAGGTCAGCAGGTGGAAAGTCTTGTGGATCCAGTGGTGGTAGAGGCATCTCAGTGCTGGCAGGGGTCTCCATGTGGCTCCTTCAGGGATCTCCATGTGGCTCCTTCCTGGACTCTAGCGTAGCTCCATGCATCTTGTCAGCAAGCATGTCTTGCTGTGTGTGTGTGCCCTGCCTCCAGCGAGCTTTTTATTTCCTTAGCACCTCCAAATGAAGTCATCAAGCTGTGACCTGGTTGACAGGCTAAACTCCATCCCTTCACTCTTAAGTCTCAAGTTGATAACAGATTATGTAACTACCACAGTATTCTTTCAATTCCTGGAGCCTTGTTTTTCATGAATGTCTTCAGTGCAGCTTAGACTTTCCTTCAAAGCCACAGACACATGCTACCTCCTAAAATGGTTAAACATTGGCCACTTCTTTTGGTACCGTGACCCTGTGAATTCCTCTGATCTTTTTTTTTTCCTTTCCCTCCAACAGTTTTATTAACACATAGTTTACATATCTTACAATTCAATAGTTTAATCATTCAATCATATCAAGAAGAATTGTACAATCAATACCACATCAATTTTAGAATATTTTCCTCCCCACGGTTAAATTGCCTTTAAAATGAGTTGTGCGATCACGATCAGTTCTAGTGCTCCTTCGGCCCTCCCCCTTCTTCATTTATTCTTTCCCTCCCTATCAACCACCCCCCACCCCTGCAGCCCCTGGAAACCTTTTATCACTTACGATCAGTATGCATCCACTCCTCCTGTGCATCTCAGCTGAGAAAACCAAGAGAAACAATTAAAAAGAAATCAAACTAAGGTGGTAAGGATAAAACAATAATCATATAAACTCCCATTTTCTTTTGATGCTTCCTATGCCACTCAGTATTTTGCCTATAAAACTCACTGCCATGAGTCAATCCTGGCTCATAATGACCCTTTAAGACAGTAAAACCACCCCTTAGGGAGCAAACCTCCGCATCTTTCTCCTGCAGAGTGACTGGGGGTTTGAACTGCCAGTTTTTCTGTTAACCCAAAGGTTAACCCACCGTGCCACAAAGGACTCTTGTTTTACCCACAGAATCCTTCATTGTCGTAACTCAAAGAATGAATTTTTTTCTTCAGTTTTTTTGGCTGGTGAAGTGTTGAGCGGTTCTCTTGCTTTTTTTGCCCCTAACTCCAGATCTTGTTTCCTTTGTCTTCTCAAGTTGCCCTTTGGATCCTCTGCTCGCTTACTTCATCATTTCTACGTTAGCTTCTCGAATTCTAGGGCAGACTTCAGGGACTGTCCAGAGATCCACTGTGTTCTTTCCTCCATGGTGACCTTTTGCTTTCTTCGTGTATGATGTGCTTCATGCCAGCCACAGCTCCTCTGTTCTTCAGTCACTGGTGCTCGATGAGTCAGAGCTAGTCTTCTTGAGAGGCTCTCGAAACTCAGGTGGCATACACTCAAGGTCATGCTTTGGCCCTTGTAGACTTGCTTTTATTTTCTTCAGTTTCAGCTTGAACTTGCATGGTATAGCAATTGATGGAGGCTTCCACAGTTGGCCTTTGGCCTTGTTCTTACTGGTGACAGTGAACTTCTCCCGATTCTCTCTTCCAATAATATAGTCTGTTTGATACCTGTGTATTCCATTGATGAAGTCCATGTTTATAGTCACCATTTATGTTATTAGGAATATTTATATTTGCAATTGTTGATCTTGCAGATTGTTTCCTCAGTAGTTTTATTGAGATATAATTCACATACCATACACTTCCATAACATCACCACAATCAGTTCCAGTGTATCCACCCCTCTCCCATCTTCAGTGTTTGCTCCCCAGCCCCCTAAATCTCCCTACCCTATTCCCGGTAAGCTATTATATCAATTATTGTCTCGGTACACCCACCCATTCTGCGTTTCATAAACTGAGAAACATGCCCCCCACAAGAATGAAGTGTGTGTGCGTGTGTGTGTGTGTGTGTGTGTAAAATAAGAAAAGAGACCACAATATTAAGATAAGCACACAATTCTATGATGTGCCCTCTAGAGTTATTTCTGTCTCCAGGGCCTTATTTTCTGAGCCTTCATTCCCAACTTTTGTTATTCCAATTACCAGTAATTTTCAATGCATCTTGACTACATGTTTGATCACTTTAAGACTGAAGAAGTTGGTAAGAAATCTTTACTTTCTTCATGTTTAACAGTAGTAGTGCTTTGTACGTACAATATTCTGGGCAGTAGTCATATTGACTGGTGTCCCTGTGGGCATACAGATCGTATTTTATCACTGACAGGGTTATAGTTAAACTGTATCCTGAAATGTTCTTCTTAACAATGAATGCAACACCATTCCTGGCATAGCAGACCACGTGATTATCTGATACAAAAACAATCAACCATTCATTTCAGCTCATTGATACCTAGGATATCAATATTTATGCATTTTATTTTCATTTTTGACCACTTTCAATTTTCTGAGGTTCCTGCTGTATACATTTCATGTTTCTCTTATTAATGGATGTTTTCAGCTGGTTTTTCCTCTTGGAGTGCTACCACATCAGCAGACGCAGAGCCTGAAAGGCTTGCTCCATCCACAGTTGCACCCCTCCTAGAGGACCCAGCTCTTTCCCAGTTGTACTTTGAGGACTTCCTAGACTGAGCGGCTCATATTCTGGCATTGTATCACACAATGGTCAGTTGCCAGTCTTAAAATATTTCATTGCCAGTTTTGTTTCCCCTAGAATTGACAGATCCTTCTTCCCAGTCTTTTTTAGTCCGGAAGCTGCTCTAAAACCTGTTCTCCGTGCTGCCCTTGTATGCGTGAAACACAAAGCCATAGCTTCCAGCAGCAAAGCAAAACACAAGCCACCAAAGCAGGTCAAACTGACAATGTAGCTCCGATGTTTATATTCTGCTTTGTTTTCTTCAGAATTGGTCTGAAGATAGTGACGGTGAAGATGATCAACAGCCCTTAAGCAGAGAGGATTCTGGGATTCAGGTAGACAGAACACCTCTAGAAGAACAAGACCCAAACAGAAAACCAAGGCCTCATGTCAGCTGGAAAGGTATTTTGTGTTCGTGGGTCTTAGCATCACTGTCTAATAAAGGCATTTCCTCTAGAGGGAAGGTGAGGTTTGAGAATCGGTTTCTCCTGCGATTCAAAGTATCGATCAACTTTGTGGCATAGTGCTTATGTACTTGGCTGCTAACCAAAAAGTTCAGTGTTTGAACCCATCAACCATTTTGCTTTAGAAAGATGTGACAGTCTGAGTCCACAAAATCTTGGAAATCTTACAGGGCAGTTCTGCTTTGCTCGAGAGTCTACATGAGTCAAATTGACTCTTTGGTGATAAGATTTGGCTTGTGGGGTTTGTGGTAGCTCCCCGCCCGCCCAATTGTTATAAAACACATCTTTAAAATAATTTTTATTGTTGTTAGTTGCTTTCATTCAATTTAGATTCATGGTGACCATTACTAGATTTTTTTCTGTTGTGCCACTAGAATTACCACTAGAATTAATGTTGACTAGGGATTTAGGGTACAATTTTATTCTTTAATAGTTGTGAATCATTTGTGTTCAACACCCTATTTTGGTGTGTAACGAGTGGGGTCTTAAAAGCCAGTGAGTGAACAGGTAAGGTGCACTTACCTGGAGGCAAGAAGGGACATGAGGACTGAAGACACAAGGAAACAATTAGTCCAGTGGACTACTGGATGCCTTGAACATCAGTGTAGTGACCCTGAAACCAGGAGGGGTAGCTGGTGCCTGGCTACTGCTATTACCAATGTCTCTGAAAGGAATAGCATTGGATAGAGTGGGACAAATGTGGAATAAAACTCAAAATCCTAAGAGACCGGGCTTACAGGTTGGGACCCCAAGACTGTGACCCTTACCCTGCAGGCCTGGAACTGAACTCACTTCTTCATGAGAATAATCAGCCATTTGAGATCAGAAGGTGCCATTTCCCGAGGGACAAAGTTCAGAGGGTTAGGGAAGAAGGAAGAGTGCGATCAGGAAGCACAGGGAGAAGAGGGGCAGCGATGGTCCATGGAGAGGATTGCGATGGGTGAGCCGAGTCAGAATGTGCATCAATTGTTGAATGTAAAACTGTGATCTGTCTGTAAGCCTTCACTTTCTCAATGAAAAGAATTTTTTTTAAAGGAAGAGTTTATCTGAGTTGGAAGGTCTGCTTTTGTGGCCCAATATAAAATTCCTCTTTCTGATTGGATGGTGGCCATTGTTTTAATTTACATTTAATTTGACCATTAGTAATTTTAGAGTTGGCCTCCTGCCCTATGGGTCACTTAGGATTGATCCTTTTGTGAATTTCCCACAGATGTTAGCTGATCATTTTTCTTTTGAAAGATGTTTAATGTCTTACCTGCCTACTCCCACCCCTAAGAGTTCTTTGGATATTAAGATGTTAGACATTGCTAGTATTTTTTTAACTCTTTTAAGAGAGAGCTTATGATCAAAAGCTTATGGTATTGAAGGAAGAAATCTAAGTTACACTGAAGACATTTAAAAGAAACAAAGCTTGAGAAATGTATAGAATACCAAGTGAAATGTTTTTAATAACCAATACGTCTCTGGAAGCACTCACTAGTCTGTGCTAAGAGATTTCGAAGACAGCTGCCAGGCCAAGTAACGCGGAAGCAGTCCTTACTTGTGTACATTTCAATGAAAGGTGATCGATGTAACGGAGAATTAGCAAACAATATCATTAATATCATAAGGAAGTGAGATCTTGCTGAAGATAAGTTTAAAATAGTTGCAGCACTTTATCAATAGGGAACTGCCAGAAATTCAAGCCAGATTCAAAAGAGAACTTAGAGTGAGAGTCATCAATGCTGATATCAGATGGTTCCTGCCGAAGGCAGAGAATAACCAGAGCTGTTTACTGAGTTTTATTGACATTCGGTTGTTTGAATCATAAATTATGGATAACGTTCTGAAGAATGGGGATCCCAGAACACTTCATTGTGCTTACGCAGAATCTGTCCATAGGCCAAGAGGCAGTTCTAATAAAATAAGGAAGTACTGCGTGATTTAAAATCAGGAATGCCAGGGTTGTATCCTCTCACCTGTTATGTGATCTGTATGCTTAGCAAATAATTCAAGGTGCTTGGCTCTACGAAGAGGAGCACAGCAGCAGGGTGGCGGAGACTCAGTCAGGCCTGCAGCATGCACGTGATGCATGCCTCCTGAAAGCAAAGGACTTGAAGTGCTTACTGAGGAAGACCAAAGACTAGAGCCTTCACTCGTTGTAGAGAAGACAGAATCCTTCCAGTGGAGCCAGCAAGCAACATCACGATAAACAGAAGATATTGAAGTTGTTGGTTTTATTTTTCTTGGATCCATAATCAACATCTATGGAAACAACAGTCACAAAATTAGATGACAGTGCTGCCTTGTGCATACAAATTATGAATGACCCCTCTTACGTGTTAAAGAGCTAAGATGTAATTCTAAAGCAGTGGTTCTCAACCTTCCTATTGCCACGGCCCTTTAATATAGTTCCTCATGTTGTGGTACCCCAACCATAAAATTAATTTTTGTTGCTACTTCATAACTGTACTTTTGCTACTGTTATGAATCGTAATGTAAATATCTGACATGCAGGATGTATTTTCATTGTTACAAATTGAACATAATTAAAGCATGGTGATTAATCACAAAAACAATATGTAATTATATATTGCGAAATATTTATTTCTAATTACAAATAAATGAAATTTTGTCTTGAAGCATGGTGTAGCATGGGTAACAGTCTTCATGACTGGTACCCGTCTGTGGGTGGACCTGCCTGGAGATGGATAGAGGAGCGTTGTCACGGTTTCTAAGCCCATCGAAAATATGTGTTTTCCGATGGTGTTAGGCGGGTCTGGACCCACAGGTTGAGAACTGCTGTCGTAAAGCCGAAGATGGGCATGACCTAAGTCATGGTATTCTTCATCCCAGCCGAGGCATGTGAGAGCTGGGCAGTGAGTAAGGCAGGCAGACGCAGTAATACCTTTGGAGTAAGGTGTCGGCAGACAAAGAATATTAAATACTTGGCAGACTGCCAGAAGCGAGGCATGTGGTAAGACTTAGCCTTGTGCATTTCGCATATGTTTTCAGAGGATACTAGTCCCCAGAGAAAAGACCTCATGCTTGGTAAAGTAGAGGGTCAGCAAGAAAAAAGAGGGTCCCCGACAAGAGTAATTCACAGTGCTGCTCAAGCCAAGGCACAACTGTGAGGCTGGGGCAGGACCAGGAGTGCTTGTTCTGTTGTACAGAAGGTTGCTAAGAGTGGAAACGGACTTGTTGGCAACTAAAAACAACAGTTTTCATTAAATTTGGGAAATAACGTTCATTATTTTCATCCCCGACACAGTTAACATTTTTCATGTCATCCTTCAAAAATATTGCATAGTTTTATTATGTCAAGTTCAGGGCTTCAAACTAGTCGATTCCAGTTTCACCCCTTGCTGAAAATTTGCATTTCCACCCCCAAAGTATACCTGACTGCACCCTTTCCAAACTCTGATCACGTTTCCAGGCTGTTCCTTTAGTGTCAGCCTGACCAGGACTGAGCCTTTTTGCTTTAAGGCTTTGTAACATGCCTTCCCCGCTCCCTTTGCTCCTTTTCAAAATGGACCTCACCACTTGAGACTCTTTCATCCACGTGCACGGAGCCGTGGTGTTGCAGTCATTATATGCATGGCTGTAACCAAAAGATTGAGGTTTCCAGACCACACAACAGCTCTGGAACACCCGGTGGGGCAGTTCTGCTTCACAACCAAAGATTAGTTTGATGCACTTAACAATCCATAAGCATTTTAGAATTAATAGGATGTGTCTTCTTAATAATTCCCCTGTAATTTATAGATGTACACCTGGAGAATTGATGTTTTTACTATTTCCATTTTGATACTGAAATTTATTCTCATTTTTGTCTTTTAGTAAAATTTGGGAATGTACTTTTTAAAGATATTTAGAATTCACTTGTTAAATTAATTTACTTCTAAATTACTTCTAAAAATTCACTTCTAAATTAATTTTTACAGAGGTAATTTTTATTGTGAATGGTGCCTTTTTTATTTCGTTATTACTGGTATAAGTAAATAAGTTGGTTGTCAAGACCATCAACAGTTTCTCTGTGTGCACTGAGTTGTTCTCTAAGTTGTGCATCCATTGTTTCATCCTCTTGTTCTGAGGTGTTTCTTCACAAATTAACAAATTGTGTTTTGATTTTTAAAATGTTTTATTAAATCGAATTGGGTCAGTTATTTTTAATCTAGGCTTTTTCATCTTTCTACTTCAATGAGTTGCTTTTAAATATCATGTTTTCTGGTTTTAGTATCAAAGTTATATGAATTTCATGGAATATCAGGTAACTTTCCCTTTTTCTGTGTTTCTGAAACAACTGCACAGATATAAATTTCCTAATCTTTCAAAAGTTTAGTAGCAGCCCTGAAGCTTTGGGTGATGGTAGGGGAATGTCTTTGATTACATTTTGGTACATGATTATTATACTATTCAAATAGCCTGTTGGTATCTTTTTGTTTATGGAAACATTTTAATATTGAACACTATATATTATTTTGCTTTCTAGCCAGTGTCATTTAATGGATTATCGTATATAAGTTTCTTTATATATATATATCCAAGATTTTAAATAAATGGATATATAAATGTTGTTAGGTAGCTGTTATTTTGACATGTCATTTTCAGTTACATATTTAAATGAAGTGGTATTCTAGATAACTGGCAAACTTGACCGATTTTTTTTTTTTAATCATTTTATTAGGGGCTCATACAACTCTTATCACAATCCATACATACATCAATTGTATAAAGCACATTGCCCTCATCATTCTTAAAACATTTGCTCTCCACTTAAGCCCCTGGCGTCAGCTACTCATTTTCCCCACTCCCTCCCCGCTCCCCCCTCCCTCATGAACCCTTGATAATTTATAAATTATTATTTTGTTATATCTTACACCGTCCGACGTCTCCCTTCACCCACTTTTCTGTTGTCCATCCCCCAGGGAGGAGGTTATATGCAGATCTCTGTAATCGGTTCCCCCTTTCCACCACACCCTCCCTCCATGACCTAGAGTTTTTTTATTGACTGTTATGAACTTGGAGCCCTGCTGGCATAATGGGTTATAAACTCAGCTTCTAGGCACAAGGTGAGCAGCTCGAAACCACCAGCCTCTCCACCAGAGAAGTGTAAGGCTTTCCACTTCCACAGAGATGGAAAACTCATGGGAGCAGTTCTACTGTAGGGTCGCTGTGAGGCAGTACTGCGTGCAGCCATTTACATTTCTAATTACAGAGTTAAACTTTGTATTCAACTTCCCTCCTGTAGATCAGACGGATGACCAGAACTGGTTGGAAGAGCACGTGGCCCCTCAGTACTGGACAGCCCAGCCCTTGTGGTTTCCCCATAGTTTACATTTGCACTCCAATTTAGCTGCGCTCTGGTAAGAAGTTAAAGTTTTCATTTAATGTAACTGTAGAAGAAACTTTGATTTGTGATTTAAATCACTACTTACCTGAAATTTATACTTACTGGCTATTTAGCAATTCTGATTAAACACATTTTAAAATTATTAATCATTATTAGGATGGCAAAATGATTCCAGAGTTAGTCTGTATTGTTTTCAAAATAAATTGATTGGTATATATTGGCCATATTTGGCTTGTTTTATTGCCCATATTACCGAACTGAAGTTTTCAAAAAATAGCACATAATTGTAAAATAGATGCCTAAATGAGCAATAAACATTGAGCGTGAGATTGTTTTAAAAGTACTTCCCTGAGAGGATCTCAATGACTTGTGAAAATGATGACTGTGGGAGGGAAATAAGTAAATTATTTTGTGTGTTCACTAATTGACTGCTGTTTTTAAGCATTAATTTGCATATATTTTTGAGACACATTCATTTAATTAGAAATATCTATGCTGACATTTGACTTTTATTCTCTAATAGGGATCAACATCTGTATAGCACTGATTCATTATATGTTCCAGATGACAGAATTTTTGTTACTGAGACTCAGGTTATTCGGGAAACCTTATGGTAAGATTTATTAATCCAATTAATAGTCTAGACAACCTTTTTAATGAGATATAAGGTTATTTTTAATAAAAGATAAATGTTGTAGTATTTTTCACAGGCACACTAGAAGAGGGCTGTTACGTATGAACCCAGAATAGTTCTCTGTCGGCATTTAAACTTGGTCTGACAGGATCAGGAAGTCCAGACTTTAGATGTGACCATGGAGATTGTGAGGCTTTGATACGCTTACTTCTTTTCTATTTTAAATAATTTAATATATAGTTATATCAAACCACATTTTACATCTCTAGAAAGCTTAAAACAATTCTTCAGATAGTTGTTTCTGGCTTTTAATAGAGCATAATCCCATACCTGAAGACCACGAGCTAATAGAACAGCTCTAAGAATGTTGCATGGTAGTCACATGAAAATTTAAAATTTAATATATGGTGGTGTTACTGTGGAAATTTCCAGATTTTGTTGCTTTCTGCATAAAGTATAATACTGACATTCCTTAAAATGGGAAGATAGTTTAGCAATGAAGTTTGTAGGCAGAAGTGCTTTGAGACATTTTTAGGGGTATCTATGAGATATTGACATATTTGAGTCTTAAGGAAATCAGATGCATAGACTGATCTTTGGAAGTTATATCTCACTCTCATCTTGCCAAGTTGTGACTTTTTCATTAGAATTTCTTAGGCACTGCTGCAAGGCAGCAAGGAAAGTGAGACTTGGTTTTACATTCTTTGGACTTGTCAGAGAGGCCGGTCCCTGGAGAAGGACGTCATGTTGCGTAGGGTAGAAGGGTCATGAAGGCGGGGCAGGCTGCCACGGAGATGGATTGATACCATGGCAGCAACAGTGGGCCAGGCATAGGAACAGTTGTGAGGATGGCACAGGACTGGGCAGTGTTTCGTTCTGTTGTGCATCAGGTCTCTCTGGGTCAGAACTGACGGATGGCATCTATCAACAGCACTGTAATGAGTAGTTTTCTAGGCTATAAATATTGATGCTTTTTATGTCATTTCAGGTTACTCTCTGGGGTAAAAAAGCTCTTCATATTTCAGTTGATAGATGGAAAGATAACTGTGAGAAACAATATTGTTGTAACTCATTTGACACATGTAAGTCATTTGTATTTATATCAGAGAATTAAATAAGATATGCATCAACCATTATAATGTACTATTAGAATGCTTTATGATATTAAAATTAGGTATATAAATATATTGTGGGAAACAGATGAGGCTTTTTAATCTTGTAAAATATAGTTTTGGAAGCCCACAGAGGCAATTCTACCCCAATCTGTAAGGTCACTATGAGTCGGAATCAATTTGATGGCATTGAGTTTGATTTTTTGAGTCTTGGTATTAAATATATTTAAAATATAAAAAGTAAAATTAAGTTATGGATCTATATAGTGTTTAGAGAGTTTATTTAATTTTGTGACATTCATGTTGAGTTTTGGTTTGCAATTTGTTTGTTTTTTTCCTCCTTGTCCTTCTGTATTAGGAAGGGCTAATAAGATACAGGAAAAAAAATCAGAAAGTTGTACAGTGTAATAAACTCTGAAATAGTTCCTTTGAATATAAAGCTGTCAAAAAAAAAAAGCTGTATTTTAATCTCTTTACTGCTTACTTCTTTGCTAAGCATTTGGCTTGCAATACCCTGGGAAATATTTTGAAGTTAAGGGGAAATGAATTTGTTTACAGAGGGCTGGCTCTAAGTAACCATGGTTTGCTTCGTTCACAGGACTGCTTACGATCAGTGCTGGAACAAATAGCAGCATACGGCCAGGTTGTGTTTCGGCTCCAGGAGTTCATCGATGACGTTATGAGGCACAGTTCTGACGGTGCATTACCTGGAAACAGTTCTGTTCCTAAGAAGTCCACTGAAGCTCCCTGTAGGACGTACCAGGCTTTCATGTGGGCCCTGTACAAATACTTCATTAGCTTTAAGGAGGAGCTTGCCGATATTGAGAAGTACATCATCCGTAATGGTATTTAAGCGTTCTTCACTCTCAGAAGGCACAACTTTTCATGCCATTTGATTAATAATTGATAGAAGATTTAGAAATTACATGGAAAATAAATAGTTCTCATGAATGTATGCATTGTTCATTATGATTTTAAACTTATAAACCATTTATATTTCTAAAAGTTAAAAAAATGCAAAAGATTTTACAGTGAAACTTTTTGTTCTAATTCTCGTGCTATTCAATTTCCTTCCACTGAGGCAACCAGTTTGTTATGGATCCTTCCTGTAAATACATGTATCAGGATACTTTTAATAGTTTGTGGAAAAATGAAATTAAAAGAATGGATGGAATTTTTTCACATATTTTTTGAAGCCCCTGTGTGCATACATACATTAGTCTATTATAATATTGTCCTCAAATTACTTTCTAACTTACTCTTGAGTATTGTACCGTATGCATATATGATTAGACAGATTCTTTTTTTTTTTTTTCAAATTTAGTGTTTCAGTATGTAGATGTACAGTGACATGATGCATCCCTTCTCGAAATAGGCATTTAGATATATCTTTTGCTATTGCCAATAATTCTGCAATCATAACCACTTATACATTAGTAATTGTACACATATGTGAGCAGGTTACCTACAGGATACATTTTTTAAAATGATAGTGCTAGGCCAAATGACATATGCATTTGTTATTTTGACCAGAACCCTCACTTTGCTCCCTATGAGTGTACATATTTAAATTTACACTCTTATGTATATGAACACTTGCTTTCTCATAGTTTTGCTAACAGTATGTTATCAAAATGTTTTCATCTTTTCAAAGTGTGCTTTCTTTTGTAACTTATTTTCAAATGCTGTAAACATAACAGTGTGATCACATGTTCCCATAATCCAGTTCACCAGGCATAACATGTAATTATAGTGCATTGTCAAAACTAGGAAGTGGACATTACCCTCACATATCAGCTGGACTGTAGACTTAGTTTTCCCTGGTTTATGTGGGCTTTCATTTCTTTAGTGTTTTGAAAGGAGAGCAGTAAGTCTTCATCTAGAATTCTCTGGCATTTCATCTCCTGTGTGGACTCATCTGACCGCTTCTGTAGCCAGGGCACAGCAGGTGCCATCACCACAAAGGAGCATGCTCACGCCCCTGTGTCCTCATCCCCTGCGGCTTCTCTAACTAGGATGGCAGCCAGTGCAGTCTGTTGGTGCTTTCCCTAGTGTAGTTTTAATTTGCATGATCTTATTTATGTGTTGTATATGGTTAAGATCATATGTACTTTCTTCATTGTGGACTGTCATTTCCTTTCTATGCTATTTTTCTCCTTGACTTTCCAGCATTTTATTCTGCATTAGGTAAATGAGGTTCTTGTGATATGAGATTAAAATCTCCTACCCTGTAGTTATTGTAGTTTGACATACATGTTTTCCTAAGTGGCTTAGCATTTATGTCTATTTTTGAGTCCAAATCTTTTTCCTTGCTATTGAGTTTGATTTATTAATATTTGCAGATACCACGATAACTCTTTCTATAGTGGTGGATAGTTTATCACCACGGCTGGCTCAACTCAAGGTTCTGCACAAAGTATTTAGCACTGGAATAGCTGAAGTTCCACCTGACACGCGGAATGTTGTTCGTGCATCTCACCTACTCAACACACTGTACAAGGCCATTCTTGAATATGACAATGTTGGAGAAGCATCTGAGAAGACGGTATGTGTGATCCCTGTCTAGCCTGAACTCTGTGACTGCCCTCTGCACAGCCAAGGAGTGATGGGTAGCCCATCATACTTCTTTGTGCAAATCATTGTATCAGACAGTTGTTCAAAGCTTTAGCAATAGTTTCTGTGTTGGAGTTTATATGCAATTGAGACCCTGTGTGAGCAGCCACCCTAACAGAAGGTTGTAGAGAATTGGTTTTTTAGTTCAAATTACCAAGATTATTCAGAAGGATGAAGCAAGGACAAAGCAGGACTTGAAAAATACATACATGATTCATGCTAATATTTTCAATAACCCTTCAATAAAAATATACTGTTTTTATATTTATATATTTTTGTATACATATATTTTTTAAGAAAGAGAGATTGGAATCTTGAAAGTTACAGGTTTGCGAACTTTAGGTGTTTTTGCAAGTTTTTTGATGTAACTTTTTGTTACACCAGTTTAGCATTGCAGTTTAAAACAAAGGAAGTTACTATAGTCTTTATTCCTACTGGAAACTAGCAAAATGAAATCCTTTACCACTTGTAATAAACAGTTCATTAATGGATCCAGGCAGGAAATATGTCCAGTCTCCCTGCCCTCTCTTAGTTTGTGCTTTTTGCTCCTGTGAGACTTTCACTCGGGGAAAGTCTTGGTGTGGACTACAGACAGTATGATCGTCCCAGGTTCAGGGGGGTTTTAAATTGGATTTTGTAGTTTGTGTTATTATAAAATTTGCTGCCTTATTTCAAATAAAACATAGAAATTAGGTCACTTTTTAAATGGCCTTTGAGAAATATTTAGAAATAGTTTCATCTAGGGACCAGGAAATTCCCTAACGTGAGCGGCGTGGCCATACTTCCATCGGCAGGTCTCCCTGCTGTTCGCGCTCTGGGTGGAGACCGTGAGGCCCTACCTGCAGACTGTGGACGAGTGGATCGTGCACGGGCACCTCTTCGACAGCGCAAAGGAATTCATCATCCAGAGGTGAGGCTTAGAACTCGGCAGTGCCAGGTACCGCTTCCTGTGTAAATTGTGCGTGTGTCAGGTGGCACTGAGAGAGAACAGTTCAAATGTCAGTTGTCTTCCATTGTAGGCAAGTTTTGTTACATTTTATAGGTAACATCGGGTCACCAGCCCATTAACAAATAGCCTCTTCCGAGTTTTATGTCAGTTCACAGCTTTTCTTAGCAATTCTATATTTGGAAGATTCTTATGACCGACTGCTATGTTAAAAGACTCCCTGCTTCCTACAACATGAATGTAAGTGATCCACAGTGTACATCGCTAGTTATAGCCATCACAGAGTGCAAACAAGGATGAATGGGTGATTAAACTTAGATCCATACAATTAGTTATTACTTAGCCATCAACTCGAAATGAAGTGCTCCCACATGGCTGACCACTGCCCCTTATGGCAATCGGGAACCCAGAGGAGGTCCAGGAATGGCCCTCCCCAGAGCCTTTTTCGTAGATCCTTGAAAACATGCACAGCAAAATAAACCAGACACAAAAGGACGGGTATTGTATGACCCCACTTATATTGAACACCTAGGATAGGCGGATGCATAGAAATGAAAGGAAGTGGTTAGTAGGGGGAAGAGGGAGAAGGAAATGTGAAGGACATTGAGTTTCTGTTAAGGATGATGAAAAACATTTTGAAATTGATAGGGCATTGATTGTATATTGCGGTAAATGCAACTAGTCACAGAATTAAACACGTACATGTGGTTGAAATGGCAATTTTTTGTTAGATATATTTCAAGTCAGCAAAAATAAGGGTGAGGGTGGGGTGAGGGAAGGATAACCTATGTAGGAGGGGAAAAAGGTATCAGTATATGAAGATTACTTTAACAGGTGGTGGTAAAATTGGGAAATGCTAATTCAATACTTTAAAAAAGATCCCCTTGTGTGGGGTTAAGGGGGAGAGGGGACCCCACAAATCATCACAGGTCCGGTAGGCACAGTTGTACAGTGATAATAAGTAGAGATTATAGTAAAGTCATAGAGAGCATGAGAGTTAGAGTAGAGGTTGGAATAAATGGAGTCAGACACAATTCATGGTAGCATTGCTCACCTCAGCCCCGCTTGATGGTCCTCGTCGGGGGAACCCAGCCACCAGAGCAGGAGCAGCCACCGACCCGAGGACCGGGAAGCCTCCTTGCCCGAGAATCAGGGAGCCTCTCCTTTATTGCTAACCATGCATTATATCACTTTAGGGGGATATGATTACAGAATCACAGGTCACAGAAAGGGGCAGTACAATTCATCCTTGGGCGGGTTTGATCTCTCTGGTGTCTCATACAATGAAACAGACAACTACTGTCCTGGGAGGCATGCAAGCCCCCTGATAGCAGATAACAACCTCTGTCACAGGGAGGGGTTGCAACATAGGAAATACAAGCAATAGGAGGGGGTTGACCTAGGGGTGAACACGCAATAGTGAAGGGAGGGAATAGGGGAGCATGTGTGGCAAGATGGGTGGGCCCTGGACTCGATATGGTAGCCTAAGCTTAGTCATCCTAGAGTGGTCCCGGGCTTGCCTTCAGGCTCTCCTTCAAGGGAACAGTATCAGAAGGGAGTGGGCCCTATTTGTTGTGAGATAAACAGTGGTGTCTGCTTGGTCTAGACAGCTGATAACTCTCAGGGAGAATGACCCCCAATCCACTCTTGATGACCTCCAAGTGTACAGTCATTCTCAAGCAGCTAAGTCTGGTGTATATTTGGGGGAGACAGCTTGAGAGAAATCCTTCTGTTTCCCACACCCTTGCAGAAGGGCTGCGGGGAGGAGACAAGCCAGTCAGGGTGCAGTGTAGCAATGATGAAACATACAATTTTCCTCTAGTTCTTGAATGCTTCCTCCCCTCCACTATCATGATCCCAATTCTACCTTACAAATCCAGCTGGACCAGAGGATGTACACTGGTACAGATAGGAACTGGAAATACAGGGAATCCAGGGCGGATGATCCCTTCAGGACCAGTGGTGAGAGTGAGGATACTGGGAGAGTGGCGGGAAAGTGAGGGAGGAAGGGGGAACATATAACAAGGATCTGCAAATAACCTCCTCCCTGGGGCACGGACAGCGGAGAAGTGGGTGAAGGGAGATGTCTGATGGTGTAAGATATGACAAAATAATGATTTGTAAATTATCAAGGGTTCATTGGGGAGGGGGGAGCAAGGAGGGAGGGAAAAAATGAGCTGATACCAAGGGCTCAAGTAGAAAGCAGATGTTTTGAGAATGATGACTGCAACAAATGTAAAAATGTGCTTGACACGATGGATGTATGGATTATGATAAGAGTTGTATGAGCCCCCAATAAAATGATTTTTAAAAAAAGAACTTTTTATTTATCTATTGTTTTAAGAGATTCTTTATTGTGTCGTAAAAATGGACAAGGCCAAGACAAAGACAGAGACATCTTTCAGATGAGGGAAACCCTTAACATCATGATGGCAGCAGGGTGTCTTAGAGTTTGCTAATATATAGAGCTTTAAAAAGAATATGGGAAGTCAAAGAAAACTGTCACATGCATGGCTGGTGGCAGATCAATACATCATAGTTACAGGTGGGATTCCAGAAGCAGGAACAGAGCTAGGACAAATACATTGTATTCGCTAGATGAGCATACAAGATTGGTCCCGTGGCCTCCTGAAGGTAGTCAGGGCATGACTCACGACTATTTGACCCCAGTAAGTTGATCTGCATCAAGGACACACCCAGGCAAGCCCCAAAGGAATACTGCCCCTCCTTGGGCTGTTCAAGGGGGTGGAGGAATCCACCTTCCAGCACCTTCAGTCTGTGGGCAAGACTGTTGGCATCCCTTATCAGTGGCAAATGGGAATTCAGAGATGATTAATCCACAGGGGACGCTGCAAATGTATTTTAGGTTTTCACTGCCATCCTTAGCTTTCTGCCAACTGGGTTCTCAGACTTTAAACTCTAATACAAGTCCCTCCACTGATCATCAATTTTATTATTTATGATCTTTATATCACACAAGCTGGGATGCTTTCTTTGTTTGTACTTAGCTGACAGTTCACCTTGATGGCTTCATGTTTTATTACAACTTTTTATTATGTATTAGGTGTGGAGTTACAACTCAGATCACCATTTTTACATTCAGCAACTTAACAAACTTCCTAGTGGATTTCCTTCCCTCTCTCCTCCTTCTCCCTCTTGTAGGATATTGCTCTCCCTCACCTGCATCCTCTGCTGGCACTAGTGGGGTTTTGCAACCTCTGCTGAACACATGGTTGTGTGGGCCCTACTTAGAGCCTGCCCTGGCAGTTTAAATATCTCAAACCAGCTCTCACAGCCCCAGGGCACTGACAGCCTCTGCTGGCACTGAGTGTCTGTTTGCAGCTGCCACTGCAGCTGAGCCATTGACCTTTCCATGTACCAGGGAGTCATAGGGAGCCAGGGGTAGTTCAGTACCCCATGTGACAGCCCCTCTAGTCCCACCCTTATTTGATACTGACTGCATTCACAGTTCTGAGAATGTGGACAGGAGACACAACTGGCCTTTGGGCATACCAGGTCAGGGCCCAGGGACAGGCGATGGGGTGGGATAGTCCCTACCTTTCTCGATGCTGGGTGGGGGAGCCTACCTTGCATTGTAAGCAGAAGTGTTTATTTTGTAGCTGCCAGCATAGAATTCACTTGTCTGCTTGATCTCTGTGTGCGTGGGTTCCACCTTTTATTTTCACTGTTGGTTTTAAATTCATTTAGCTTTCCCTCAGAGATCCAGGGCTCCAGGTTTTCCCCAGTCTGGTTGTGGGGAGACTCAGCCTGTCTTTCCAGGCTGCCATCTTGTCATATGCTCTTCTCATTCTATTTATCAAAAGAGCCAGCTTACTCACTTGGGCTTTGTTTAGCTAACTCCAGTTTAGGAAAATATTTTGACTAAGTTACCATAGACCATTCAGAATAATTGCCCCCTTCTATGTTAAGCTAAGGTCAGATAGAACCCTCTGCCCCATTTTAACTGGAGGTCACTTTGTTTTACTGGTAGAATGCTGTAGTTTCAGGACCCATTGTTACACAGTGAATTCTTAGATAAAAGTTCAAAAGCATTAGAAAGAAAAGACAATCTGGGTAAATTGGACTTCACCAAAACTAAAAGCATGTGTTCAACCAAAGACAACAAAATGAAGAGATAGTCTGCAAATTTGGAGAACATTTTCTGGAATCCTATCAGATATGGGTTTAATATCCAGAATATGTGAACAATTCCTACAGCTTAACAACAAAACGACAACCATTTATTAAAAAATGGCCATGGGACTTAAATGCATATTACACCAAAGAATAAATATTAATAGCTAGCAAGCATATGAAAAATATGCTCAACATAGCTAACCACTAGGGAGATTCAAATCAAAATCACAATGAGATACCACTTCACATCCAGTTCAGCTAAAAAGAAAGGCAGGTAACAACAAAGATTGGCACCGTTGTGGAGAAATTGGAACCCTTATCCGAGGCTGGTGGGGATATGAAATGGAGCAGCTGCTGTGGGAGAGAGTTTAGTTGTTCCTCAATGCACAGAAACACTTTCTGGAGCCAAATGGGGAGTAGAGAAGGGATGACCCTCTGATATTACTGACCTGAGATAGCTTTAAACCTTAAACCAAAAATCTGCTTTGAACATTGTGCTGCTTTAAGACTGATCTCTGTTGTCAAGTTGACAGCAGCAACTGGAAAGATTAGATAGGACTCGTAGGGGATGGTGGATTTATGTTAATGAGGGAGGAACAACTCAGAAAAGGAGGGTGAGACTAGTTACACAACGAGAAGAACATAACACTGCACGTGTAGGAACTGTTAACTAGTTTTTTGCTGTAAATATTTTCAATAACAGCAGACTATGTAAAATCTAGGGGAGAAAAATAGTGAAATTAAAACTACCATCTGACTCAGCAGTTTTACTCCTAAATCTATACCCCAGAGGCTGGAAAGCAGTTGCTCAAATATACACAAGCCACACAGCCCTCCCTCACGAACCCTTGCTAAGTGATAGATGGGTTCATTTCCTGAAGGCTGTGTAGCTTGTTTCTGTCTCTGGCTACTGTGAACAGCGCTCCGATGAACACTGATACAGATGTGTATATTTGAGCACCCAGTGGATTCCCACTCAGTGGTAGAACGGCCCCTGTGGGTTTCTGAGACTGACTCTTTAGAGACTAGGACACCCCCTCTTTCTCCTGAGGGGTGGCTGGTGGCTGGTGGCTTAGCAGCCCAAAGCAGAATCATTATGCCTCCAGAGCCCCAGGTCAATCACACAGTGACAAATAAGGTATAATCCACTTATATGAAATGTCGGAAATAGTCAGATGGATAGCGACCAAAGTTTATTACTGGTTACCAGACGTGGGAGTGTGGAGAAAAGAGGGAGTTGTGTGGGAATCATTGAGTTTCTGTCAAAGGTAATGGAAATTTTAGCAATGATTGTGAATGTAATTGACATCACATGGTAATAGCAACAGGGTGGATATCCCATGGTGAGACCAGCATGGTCAAGGTAAATAATTTCACTAGATTATAGTTTGAAAAGCATTGAATGGGCAAGTGTTGTGTTATCTTTTTTACACGGAGCCTTCGTGGGGCCATTGGTTTGCTAACTTGTAGGTTGGCAGTTTGAATCCACCCAGCAACTCTGCAGAAAGAAGACTTGGTTGGTGGCCACCATAAAAATCACAACCAAGAAAATCCTATGAAGCAGTTCTGTACTTTGACACATGGGTTTCTTTAATTTGAGGCCCGCCTTGAAAGCCGCTAACAGCATCACGCAGTTTTCCAACAATTAAAAAAGAAAGAAGATGGCTTTACTAATCTGACTATATTTTAGAGTATCTGAAAACATGCTTAAGCTAGACCAGATAATTATTATTGTTTTTGTTCTTGTTAAGGATGAGAAGTGAAAATTTAAATTCTTTTGACTGCAGAAACAAAAATGTTCCAGTAAATCATAGAGACTTTTGGTATGCAACTTACACATTGTATAGTGTATCAGAAAAGAGCAAGAATGAAGAAAAGCTGAATAATAACGCTAGTGCAAGTTCTAGCAGTGACCAAGGACCTTCTAGCCGGCAGCACACCATGGTGTCTTTCCTGAAACCTGTCTTGAAGCAGATCATAATGGCCGGCAAGTCGATGCAGCTGCTGAAGAACCTGCAGTGTGTTGAGAGCGCCAGATGCCAGGCAGAAGCAAGAGGTAGCGTGCTCCTTCATATATCTAATTAGATAAGTTGATGATTGCTCTCGAAGGGAGCCTGGTGGATCAGAATTGATTTGTGGCAGTTTAGTTTAGTTGTTTTTTTTTAATTAATTGGGATTAATACATATATGCTTATCAAATCATTCTATAGTTAAATCACATCCAGCAGAATTGTACACTTGCTACCACAAGCAGTTTCCAAACATTCGTTTTCTATATGGATCATTTGATGTCATCACCTCTGTGCTCCCCTCCTTACCCAAAACCCTTATTCCATTGGCTGACTCTCTAGGCTCATCAGTCCTGGTTTTCATACCCCGCAAAATGAAAAACAATATACCGCAACTTCAAGAGGGTGACCCCAATGACATAACACTCCCGAGATACTTCTTAATATATACAATAAAAGACCAAACAAAAAATACAGCCCTCAAATACATAAGATTTTAAGCCCTGTGGCAGGCATAGTGGTTATGAGTTGGGCTGCAATCCGCATGGTCAGCAGACCCAAAATACGTAAGATTTTTGGTACCAGGTCAGGTCCAGCATGCATCTCGGGATACGGCGGACACGCTGTAACTGTTCAAGTCAGGTTTTGGTCTTTGACTTTCTGCACTCACCCACTGATGCACTCTGTTAGTGACCGCCTTCCTCCTATCCCTCAGTGGCGGAGAGGGAGTTCACCAGAGGTGTATTACTTGTAGAGTCCCACCAATGAATCTTGGGCTCCCACTGTCATCCATAGCCTTTTGCAAACCACATTCTCAGACTAGTAACCCTTCCCTTCGACTTCACAGTCCTTTGGTGCTTGGTGATGGTGTGCTGCTTCCATGCGGACTTAGTTGACATCTCACTTAGATGGCTGCTTGTTTGGAAACAAGCTTTCAAGGCTCCAGACCCTATTTTACCTCATAGTTTTGGTTTTGTTTTTTTTTAGTAAGAATTG